GAACTCCTGGAGTGGCAGGAGTTGCATCTTGGGTCTGCAGGACCCCAGCGGGCAGGGGTTCTTTGCTGCCTAAAGAATGCGGTCTTTAATGCCTGAGGGAGACAGAATGAGTGAGGAGAATTGGACTGTACACCGAGGGTTATCACGAGTGAAAGACACCAGCACAGGAGAGGGCACCAAGGAGGTGCCAGGCCTGAACCTGGAGGGAAGGACAGGAGAAGACCACGAGAGGCTTTGGTGGAGGAGGCAATACCCAACTGAGTTACATTTGTGCAAACACATGAATTGATCCTGGGATTCTTAGTGCGTTCTGTACCCAGTGAAATCCAGGAAGTATCAGCCTGTTAAAGTGGCGTTTCACCTTGTCTCTGAACGTGACAGCGGAGGTAAAGTAAATGGCAAGGATGTAGTGCTGGAAACTTCCATGGCGCTGGGTGTGGTGAGCTCACGGGTCTAATTGCAGCACTTTGGGAGGCCGAGGTGGGCCCCGATCACCTGAGGTCAGGAGATTCCAAAACCAGCCTGGGCAACATTGTGAAACCCCATCTCTACTAAAAATATAAAAACATAGCCCACGTGGATGGTGGACACCTGTGGATCCCAGCTACCTCGGGAGGCTGAGGCAGGAGAATTTGCTTGAACCCAGGAGAGACGAGGTGCAGTGGAGCCGACAGCCAGTACCACTGCACTCGTAGCCTCGAGTGGACAGAGGGGAGACTTCGTCTCGGAATAAAACAAAGCGAAACAAAACAAAACAAAACAAAAAAACCCAAAAACAAAGAAATGGCAGAATGTAGTGCTGAAACTTCAAACCCTATAGGATGTGGTGACTTGAGGGTTCTTTGTTGGGACCAGAGGAAAGCTGAGAAATAGCTCAGTGCTGTTGTGTTTCGCACTGGCTTGGTAAACAGGAGTGTAAACACAGACACTCTTCTGCGTTTAAGGGATGGGCTGTCAGGTGACGGAGAACTGCTCAGATTAAAGTTTTATTAGGCAGTCATTGAAAGGAAGACATTAAATGGAAAAAAGTTCTCCGAGAGACCTAGACTATCCCCAAGAATGCATCTGTGGCCTCCCAGGGCTTTGCCAAGTGCAGTCTCAGGACACCGCTTGGCATTCAGCCCTTGATAAATTCACTCCTCCCCCAGTTCCCAGCAAGCCCTGAGATGAACAGCAGACTTTTTGTTCCACTTTAATTTTTAGGCAAAACGGAATGCCCGTCACAAAGCCCCGTTCTCCCCTACCCCCAACCTAGAGGTATCACATTTTTGGGTGCGTCATTTTCTGTTTGGGGTGGCTTAACAAG